TAAAAATTTAAACGTAAGAAAACTGAAACCTCGCCACTTCAACTTTAATCAGTGCCAGCTTGTGTTAATTATCTCTTAAACAGGTGCTCTGTGCCAGTTAAGCATAAAACATACACACGATAAATTAAATAAATTTACGCCAACTTCTGTTTTTTCTCTTAATTGATCAATAATGATCAAAGGTAAATTACTAAATTAGCGGTATGCAATATGAAAACTGGAAACATTACATAAATTAATATATTAAAACAGAAATGTATTTGAAAGTCTGGGTTAAAAGAAAAACAATCATAAACAAAGTGCGGGTAAATCGTAAAATTTAGATTATTCAAGAACATCAAAAATTTGATGCGAAGATAAAATAGTTGTCGGATGAGTTTTGATGACTGCTGATTTAATTAAATAGCTTATAGAAACACATTACACAGTCTGTTAAGCTAATTATGACCCCAGCATGCTCTAACCATGGCATGCAATAAGAACTCCTTTAAATGATTTTCACATCTTCCCTGCGTCTTTTTGTTTCCAGGTGCTTGTATTAATAAATGTATACAAACGTAACACATCAAGGTGTCCATGGAAAACATCACTGGAACAAAAAAATGCTTTTTGTCCCCTTTCTCCTGATTATTTTTACATCTGCAATAAAATACCGTAAGGTTATAAAATAAACTTAAATAAACCTTGCGAATGTTTATGACACCCTTGAACATTGACAGATGTGAAACTCTATTCAAAGCTATTGACTAAATTTTTTAAGTCAAAGGGAGACAATTCAGGATTTTTTGTTAGTCAAAGGGACAGTTGGCTATTAACCCTGCTTAATTTCTTAAATAGACATGCCCAACTTCCAATTTTGGGAATTTTTATTATCAATTTTGAATATTTCATGATGAAAATTAAAAACTAATACCAGTAAGCCAACAGTTTAGAGCCTGGTCAGACTGTACAGGTTATAGAAGTATGTATGTAGTTTATGCTTAATGAGGGTCCAACCGCCCATAAGGGCACAAGATGCAGCTTTCGCTGTCGAGTACGGACCCCAGACATGTCACCAGTCATGCCCTTAAAGAGTTAATTTTGAAGCACAAAGTGGTGATAATTTACCTCATGGAGTATTAGCCAAAGATATGAATTTTGAGCCAAAAGTAGGTCACTGTATGGCGGTCAATGAGAACCTAAATGTACAGTAACCCGAGACAATATGAAAGGGTAGCCCTCACAAGGGCTGTTGGTGCCAGCAAAAGGCCTGCCATTCGAGCGGTCTAACTGTGCTAGGGGCTCAAGCACCCTAGCACACCATCCTCGTAAACCCAAAGCCTACTTCGTAGGACCACTCCCCTTGGCTTTAGTTAGGACATCGGCAGCTGGTCAGCAGCACAAGTTCCGATCTTTTTCCGCCGTCCCCAGTCTTCAAATCTTCTTCCGATGCCCTGTGTTTTCTAAACCACATACACGTATCAAGGGGAAGAGAGAAGGGATAAAGAAGTGCAGGCAAGACTGTGTTCACTTTTAGTTTCAGCAAATTAGGGTTAGCAATAATCATACATGTATTATCATACAATAAAATATTAGCTAGTCCTGTCACAATAATATCTTTGTACGTTTTGGGCTAAATTTTATGATTCATTATGTATATTTAACCTATAATTGTGATTTTTAATAGAAATCTGGTACCACAGAAACTTTTTTTACAGTTGTTAAAAATAATCCTGAACTGTGGTTTATGACCAATTTTGCAGGGTTTTTCCCCAAAATAATTCTACTGCGTTACAAACGAGTAGGGCTAGTTTTTACATATTTTGTCCTCTTTTTGGTAATTAATTTACATAGGTTATAAGTGCTGTTATAATTGCTGTGAAAATTATTTTCTTGGTTTACTTCAAAATATTTTACTTTTTAATACATTTTCAAAATTTTCATGAAAATTAGCATTTATCTGGAGATGTGCTGCTTTAACTCGAAATTTCATACTTTTGAATATCAATGGAAATATATTTTTGCTACTGGAATCAAAATGATTTATACGTTTATATTTATGAATATTTTATCAGTTAAACTTTTTTTCTGATCTGAACAAGACCCATTAATTATAAACTAATATCTAATCAATTACAGGTCTGTACATTAAAAGCCTCTTCATAAACTAGTAATATATTTAACCTGTTATATTTCATATGCTTTCTAGGAAGAAATGATTCTGATTTATGTCACGTCTTCACTTGTCAACAAAACCATTTATATTTTCTAGGCACTTATAATACACCTAGAGAAAAAAAAACAACACTTCAGTGCTAACTTAATTTATAATCAACATTGCTTCTATCACCACAGCCTTATCTATCTTTATGGGACATATTTATCAGGTTAATGTAAATTTCTGAGGAAATGTCTTCTGCATGTGGTTTTTTAAAGGAACAGTAATGCATTGTGGGAAAACAGGTGTAATAGTAAAAATCACCAAGTTAAAAAAAAACTTTAATGTAAACAGACTCTAAATGTCAAGATACACAGTTATGTTGAAATGATAAACAAACTGTAAATGGCAGTTGAAACATGTTCACATTATTCTTTTTGAATTACATAACTTCAATTAATTGTTTAGAATGAATAAGTGCAGCTTACATTAAAGAAAGCATACCACTTAAAATCACTCTTAAAAAAACGGAAAAAGAAACATACACAATCGCATACAGTTTACTGTATGACAGATTTCTGAGAGGCCTGAAACACTTTTATTATAAACTCAGCCTCTAAAACTATGTGTTAACAGATAATTCTCAGAAAACGCATTTATTCAGCACCTACTAAGTGCTGAAATAATTAATACTTTTATAAAAAAAAAAAATTCTAAATCATATTAAAATGGAACTGTTATTTTCAAAAATGTATGCTTAATGTAAGCGTAAAATTTAACTTTAAGATGTTATCCTTAAAAATGTATGTTTAATTAAAATTTCACTAAATGGAATAACTAAAACCAAAGTTAATGAGATCACAGAATCAATCATACATGTACTCCATTTGTATCTTAAGTTGGGTTGTATAATTCTCTAACAGGTGGAACAAAAAATACATCATTGTAATTGTTGACATGGAGAGTTACATATATTCATAGCCCACATGTTTCTGTTGGTTTACATCATGTTTCCAAACTGTTTAATCTTTCAACTTTTGTTTTATCTCTTGACTTTTGCTTACTCTCTTGACTTTTGCTTTTTTTTTTCACTTTTGGTTAATCTTTAAATCTGAGGTATGACTTTCTATATTTTGAGCCTGATGAACAAAACAGTTCTAAGACGTCACACAGAAGATTACCAGTCATTTATCTTCCCCGCCGCTCGGGTTGTCTTGACGGCATGTCAGTACGTTTATATATTACCCAATCTTCATGAAGCATAAGGCTTTGACTGTATCAATTAGGCAGATCATTTCTCACGGGTTTATCTTAAACACCAAACAGAACTTTTCAAAACTTATTCCATTTTCTCTTCTTTGTTTCATTGTTTTTTTACATACAATGTTGTTGTTTTTTTATGCTAAATTACAGTTAAGTAAATTAATGAAACTTTTAAGAAAAACAAATTTCATTTTACATAATTTTTCCTTTCATGACCTGTCAATCAATAAGAAAATATAAAATGCACTTCCAAATTAACTTTATGGATGAAATTCATTTAATTAATAGATGCATCCAGTCCTAGTTGTCTCCAAACCAAAGGTTGAGTCTTTTATATATATATATTTATGTGTATTTGTTTTCCTTTATGACCACTGGGATCATAAAATCTAGTTAGAGATGAAGGTCATCATTTAAGCAGACACATCCAGTCCTAATTGTCTCCAGATCATATGTGGAGTTTTACACAACTTGACCTTGACCTTAATGTGTGAACATGACCTTTGACCTTTTGGTATCCAAGTAAATATTGGTGTTATCATCAAATGGCCAGACTCAATTATGATATGTTCGACTTAAAATATTTTTAACAGTGGTGACTGTTAAATGAAAAATGTAACTTTAAAATATTAATGTTCTTCTTTGGATGGCTAACACATACTGAACACATAACTATATCGAGACTTGGACACTTGTGGTCAATTTTGGGACAACTCTACTTTGATAGGCCAATTTGCCTGCACAACTCTATTCAAAAATAATTTGTAGAGCCCTGAACACAATACCTAAACTCATAGTACCACTGATTAGACTAGTTCAACTAACCACATCAAGTTCTTCTCAGCAGTGCCTTCTTGCAAAAGACTAAAGCTAGAAATGCAAACAAGCTAATTATAACTCTAATAATAACTTGTGAGTTAAAGTATTTTCCCTATCTATAATAGCCTTACAAAAAGACAAACCCAATTACTAAGCAATAGCAAAATCTAAAACTTCAGACATCTGAAATTATTAACCTCTTACATAAACAAAATCCAGCACTTTTTTGCAATGAAAATATGTGACCTGACTCCTCTCTCCAGCCATATCCAAGTGGCACCATAATTTATCAACGCCCCATTCGTTTATTTACAATCTTTTACAATTACCTAACAGTATGGCTTTAGAGATAAGAAAATATGCAATTAAAACTTATGACACGATAACATTATCCTTTCTACAATATCTATATAATTATTAGTATGTGTAATTTTACACTTGTCAAAATAGTTTATCAAACATGTTTTTCTCTCTAGACTGTTATTTTACTTTCTTGACTTCAGAACCTTCATAACTGCTGAACAAACTGGAAAATTTGGGAAGGTAAATTTCTATTGACAGATACACAGTCAAAGTAGGGTAAATCAGATTAAGCTTTTTATGACCATCACTGAATTTATGATACTTAACTAGCATTGTTACTGTTAATAATATGATGACCACCAAAATAAAGCATTCTCCCTGAGGACCTTTTGCATTTAAGGTCATAACTAGTCTTTAAAGGTCCTTGAATATCGTTAATTCTGTTGCGCTGAAATTTCAATATTGAAGTATCAAATACCTTGCTGGACTGAAATCATCTTTATTCTCAGCAAGATCCCAGGGTCTACAGCCACCGCCCCAACTTGCTATGTTTAGAACAACCAGCCCTTCTATGTCATGTAGCTCCACAGTTTCACCATCCATCTCCAACTAAAGAATCAAATATGAAATATTAACAGTATAGGAAATTGTGAAAAAGTTTGCTAAATTTAAGGTAGATCTCAGTGCTGTCTAAACTCTACTTATGTCCTTTCAATTCCTTGTGTCCTATAGTTCCATTTCTTGTACCTTCAAGTTCCATTCTTTGCATACTCTTATTCAATTCCTTGTGTTCTCTAATTCAATTCCTTGTATTCTCTAATTTCAATTATATGTAACTATTCTCTAATTTCAATTATATGTAACTATTCTCTAATTTTAATTATATGTAACTATTCTTTAATTTCAATTATATGTAATTATTCTCTACTTACAATTATATGTAACTATTTTCTAATTTTAATTATATGTAACTATTCTCTAATTTCAATTATATGTAACTATTCTCTAATTTTAATTATATGTAACTATTCTCTAATTTCAATTATATGTAACTATTCTCTAATTTCAATTATATGTAATTATTCTCTTATTACAATTATATGTGTTCTCTTAATCTATTCCATGCGTTCCCTAATTTCAATTCCGTGAGTTCTTGAATTCAGTTACTTTTGTTTTCTAATATAATTCTGTGTGATCTCTTATTATTACAGCTTGTATCATGTCAGTTGATTCTTTTTCAGGTAGCAAATATCAAGAAACACCAATATATCAATAATAATTTGATTATTAAAATCTCTAACACTATGAATAAACTATTTCAAATGTATGCCTACATGTAGTTAATAATTATGTTAGCATAAATATCCTTTATATTATATTTCATAATCTCTTTAAAATGGTAGAGGTGAAAATGCCATGCCTTATAATGCCATTGATATAGAGCGAGCCTTGCCAGTCTACACCTCCCAGTCCATGCAGTCATGCCAGAATAAATACTGTTCTATGATTAATTTCAACATTTCAATATTGACATTCCCTCATACTTACAATGGACAGGTCCAAATTTAAAGCAGGCCAAGTCCATTTTTATGAATTAGCAAAATAAAGGTAATTCATACCTTGACTTTCTTGTGGAGATTCTTACATTCTCTTTCTAGCACATCTTTTGTACCATATGTCAAGTAACACAACTGAAAATATAAATACACCAAAAGACATAAATTATGAATTTACCAAGGGGTAAAATATATCAATATTTGTGCCTTATAATCATTGTAAGTTTTGCAGATTCGCCTCTTTGAACACTCCAACACAGTATTAGGCTATGACAATAAAAAAAAAAAACAAACTTTGGAAATTCTTCTTTTTTGTGTACATTTTTTGTTGTAAAAAAAACAACAACAACAGGGTGACTTGCAAGTTATACCCCTTGTATAACAATTATTGTACCTCTTGCTTTCCAATAAGTGTGGTCCTTATTTCAAGAGTGTGGTCCTTAACAGGCCAATTTAACAGTGTATATAACCTTACAGAACTGATTGCCTCCATCTATTACACCAATATTAGGACAGAATGATGGCAGTTTGATAAACTCTCACTTTCACACTTAGTTTAAACTAACATACATTTTAGCATGCCAGAAATGTTACATGGCATAAGAATACAAGAGATTCATGACCTTTTTACTGCAAAATTTTCATTATAATACCTCAAAATTAATAGGTTGCGTCTAAATTTTTGTCAGGAATGTTACTTAATTTTCAGACAAAGGGAATGGAATAAGTAATTTTAGATTTACACAGTAGATAATCTATTATCCTGCCTGACGCTGATTTAATTTGCGATGAATTTGAATCATTTCCAAACCGTTAATTCTTAACCAGTGGTAAATACACTTCATTCTTGAACAGAAAAAAAATATAAAATAGTTTAAGTCCCAAACTATGTTTTACCATTTGTTTTTTTATCATAAAAATAAACATAAACAAGAGCCATGTCAACATGGCCATCCCCCGCCAAATAGGTTTGCTCATTGGAAGAATGTATATGTAGTAGAGCAGTATAATTCAATTTTAAGAGGTCTTTTGGTGGCTGAAGTGATTACAGATTTGAAACCTATGTGAATACTGATGGCTGAAAAATAATGCAGGGTAGGTTATCATTCTTGTGTGCTGCACCCCTCCTCACAGGCACGAGTATCGGACCTGGGAAGAAAAAATATGACCAGATTGATAAAAAAACCTGTGTTCATCTTAAAAGTGTCAAAAAAACAAAACAAAAATGTAAATAATGACCCCCTTTAAAAATATCCTATAAGTTAACTTATAGTATATTTTTAAAGGGGGTCATTATTTACATTTTTTTGGTTTTTTGACACTTTTAAGATGAACACAGGTTTTCTTTATCAATCTGGCCATATTTTTTCTTCCCAGGTCCGATACTCGTGCCTGTGCCCCTCCTCTGAGTAAAATCTATCCACCTATGAAGTTTCAAGTTGATACCTCAAATACTATTTGAGATAAGCTCCGGACAAAATTTTGAGTATGAAAAAGAACAAAGGGCAATAACTCAAAAAAAATATACAGGGAAGAGTTATCATTCTTGTGCACAGCATTCCTCCTCAATAAGATCTATCCACCTATGACATTTCATGTTGATATCTCAAAAACACTTTTGAGTTATGCTCCACTCAGGTGAAAAATTAAGTATGAAAAAATAACAAAGGGCAATAACTCAAAAATTATGAAAGGTAGAGTTTATCATTCTTGTGCACTGCACACCTCCTGAGTGAGATCTATGCACCTAGAAGTTTCACGTTGATATCTCAAAGGCTTTTTGAGTTATGCTCTGGACAAAAATTAATTTTGAAAAATAACAAAGGGCAATAACTCAAAAATTGTGCAGGGTAGAGTTATCATTCTTGTGCATTACACTCCTCCTCAATGAGATCCATCCACCTATTAAGTTTCAAGTTGATACCTCAAATACTTTTTGAGATAAGCTCCGGACAAAATAGTATGAAAAAGAACAAAGGGCAATAACTCAAAAATTATATAGCGAGGAGTTATCGTTCTTGAGCACAGCATTCCTCCTCAATAAGATTTATCCACCTATGACATTTCATGTTGATATCTCAAACACTTTTGAGTTATGCTCCACTCAGGTGAAAAATTAAGTATGAAAAATAACAAAGGACAATAACTCAAAAGTTATGAAAGGTAGAGTTATCATTCTTGTGCACTGCACACCTCCTGAGTGAGATCTATGCACCTATGAAGTTTCATGTTGATATCTCAAAGGCTTTTTGAGTTATGCTCTGGACAAAAATTAATTTTGAAAAATAACAAAGGGCAATAACTCAAAAATTATGCAGGGTAGAGTTATCATTCTTGTGCACTGCACTCTTCCTCAATGAGGTCTATCCACCTGAAGTTTCAAGTTGATACCTCAAATACTTTTTGAGATATGCTTCGGACAAAAATGTCGGACGGAAGGACGGACAGACGGAAAAACGGACCGACGGAGACTATTTCTATATCCCCTGCTGCCTTTTCAGCGGGGAATAACAAGCTTTCTACAACAAGAGCTGTCAGTAGGACAGGATGCTCAACTATACTCAGTGCTTTATAGTAAAACAAGAGCCTGGATAATGTAAAATATTGTAAGTTCAAAAAGGGCCATAATTCTGTCAAAATCCATGATAAAGTTATCCTATTTTGCTTCAAGTGTGTGAAGTTTTAACCCATTCCCATTCCTTCATATAAACAATAAACGCGGTGATGTCAACACCAATGCTTATGAGTAAAATAGCTTGCCTTATTCTTCAAATAGTTGGGCTAAATATGAAATATTCACATGACATTTTCATAAAACATATTCCAAACCTGTTGACAAATTATCATATTACAAATTATTTTTGTTCAATTTCCTTTAATTAGACCTTGAAGGTCAAGGTCATCATGGGTTCAAGGTCAGGTTTCAATATGTTAAGTGCAGGGGTATTTGTATTCCAGTATGAATACTGTAAACTATAAAGAGAATCTATGAATTAAAGAGCATAACAGTACTATACTTTCACAGAGCATCCAATCAAATAAAGCCTAAAAGAAATTAACATATTTTATAATTATTTTCTAAAATCATATTTATTAAAGGGAGGTAATAACTTTAAATAAGTTACTCTAGAATATAAGATTATTATGGAATACAATAATCAACTGACCTTTTAAACCCAACTAAATATATTAAATGGACTTGTGAATCTTTCCAAAATGGACAAAACCATTTATCATTCATAGGGAAAATTATCAAAATTTGTATGAACAATGCAGACCATAAAGACAGTCGGCATGGATGAGACAGCTGATCTTGGTCTGCACTGGTTGGGTAGAATCAGCTGCTGCCAACAGGCTATTTTAATGTTAACATTGTAAGGCAAATACCAAACTATTAAAAATTCAAATAAATTTTCTTCCATCATCTCAGGAATAATTTAATGGAAACAAAAACATTTTGGGCCTTTAATACTAAAACTAAATGATTAATTTGCTGTTTCCTGGAACAGTATATGGCTATCATATCTAGAAAATGTGCAGGAATTTGACAAGACATCTAATTACGAATAAATCATTTTCAAAGAGATCACTGCTACAGCTTAATCTAAAAATTAGTGCCAAAAAACCATAAACTAAATCATTTTCTGTTGCAATTTATCGCTCATAATCATGTTACATTTGCCGTCTGCAAAATTTCATTTTTCCACATTTTTTTCCCCTACTGGAGCGTGGCAAAGAACAATCACTGCTTTGTACAGAGACCTACTTCTTTACTGCTGAAATAAACTGATAAATAATAAGGTGAGGACAGCTTGTCAAGATAAAAAACATAAATTTTATTGCAGATTTCTTCAATAAGAATTTTACTGCATATGAAACCTCAAAACTTCATACAAAACAATTGTCTCTTTCATTCAAGAAACAAGATGTTAGGGTAAGCAAGCTGGCTAACAGATTCCGGCACAGTGGGTGGTTCGAAGAACAAACACCTTCTTCTCAGCATGCTTCCAAGCACCTTGCATTATAAGCATCATGAATAATGAATAATTTAAATGACTTATGATATTTATGTATTTTTCTCAAAATTTCTGAACTTAAAATTTGCAGGTTCCATTTTTGGGTTTGATTATAATTCACCCTACTTCGGTCATGGTCAAACAGCAAACTTTCCAGCTTTACTGATTGTATGTAGCTGAGTTACCCTCAACTGTCCATGACTGCATACTTGTTATTTATTATGTTATGTTAAGATAGTACAGCACACAGACGTTCCGTAAGCTAGCTGGATAGCTTCATCACATGAAAGAATCCAAAGTCCCTGTCGGGATTCGAACCCACAGCGGTGAGGGACAAGTGGTTTGAAGATAACGTCTTTAACCACTCGGCCAAGGACGCCCTATCACCAGATAAAATCAAGGGGTTGACATTTTTATATCTTTGGAATATTAAAAAATAAATAAGGCTATCAAACTGTCACTGCAAGAATTTCTTTAAATACAAATAGTTTTTAGTATAAGACTGAATACTGCATGGGCATGAAAAATGTTTTTTTAATTGTTTCAGTCAATTTTCACCCATTTCATAATGCTCACAGGAGAATTTTATGTTCTATACAAAATTATACTCATCAATTAAACTTATAGTTGAAGAAAGCCTTCGATTTATTCAAGGATTTTGATAATATTGACATTTATATTACTAGTTAGTATATTTGAAATATGAATACGATCTCTGGTGATATAATACAGTACATAATTTTAGTAGATCTTGTAAATTTTCTGAGAATAAGGGAGGAACTGTCAAAATCTTGTTAAAGGATGAATGGCAAATAACTTTCAAAAACTCTGAATGCTAAATTATAAAATTACAGGACTATAAACCTCTGCAATATTCATCAAAGAAATCACCAGCATCTTTTCAAACAAATTTTCCCACAACCCCCCTCCCCCTAATAATCAGGTCAATAGGCTGAACATGTTTAAACAGAAAGGTTTCATGAAAATTTGTTTCCACAGCTAAGCTCCCATGTCCCCTGTATTGCAGTTCAAATAAATGAAATAAACAAGTTAATTCTGACATCAAAAACAAGACCTAAAATCCTAGTAAAAACATTGGGCATTTACTGTGATTTTCCC